GTCGGTCAAGTTATAGTGTTAATGCATATATCACTTTTCCCACCTGATTAAACAGAAAAATACTGTTTAAAACTTTGATATTGAACAGAATCTTTCTCAAGGAAGAACTCATTCGCTTCAAGAGCAAAAAACTTTGATACTGTAAATCATCTATAGAAATTAAAGTATCATTCAAAAGTAATTCACTTTTATCTGGAAAGTATTAACATAATGCATTAAGGTGGTAATTCACGGTCACAAAATTTAAGTATAAATAGTAATACAGTCACAAACTTTGATGTTGTGGATGCTAGCTAGACAATCAAAAGGCGACCTCCATCGTAGGACCTTTTCAGGTAGCATGATATGATTTAGTTTTGTTGGAGTGTCATGTGGTACGTCCGTACATTAAACGTTCACGTAGTTTAATGTACGGACGTACTGTCATTTAGCAAAAAAATTCTAAATAATATATAATCGGTCAACACATGCTGGTGAGTTTCAAATGTATGAGTTTTGACGAAGTTTCAAACGCTTGTTATATAGGGTTTATAATGTTGGAAACTTGGAATTAAGGATTATGAGATCAGTTGCTCATAACTTATATAGTATTTTCGTACGTTCAAATATAATTGGAAATGTTGTGGTACTAAAAATATGTTTCCAGTAGAAAATATGGCTACAAAAGTCTCATAAGTCTTTGAGACTTCCACAAATATCTGAGGCTACACGCGTATTCACCATGTAAAAATCTTCTCATTTTTGAGATGTCATTTTTTACACATCTAATACCGAAATCATGAATTCGAATTTTTTTTTAAAAAATTAAACTTTAGATACAACAATTTTTTGAACGTTTTCATTTGAAATCTTAGGTAAAAGATTGACTAAGGAAGTTGCACCTATACTTGCAACGATAGGTCGGCACTTGTTCACTCCAATGGACATGTGTAATACAGTTGTTACCTATCTGAGCACTGATCACTGAGTACTATATAAGCTGTCATATGTTAGCAACAATTACACAACACAATATCCTTTTTACTTCTTTCATAACTATCAGAAAAAAAAAAACACAATACACAAATCAAAGTTTCATTAGTTTAACACCCCAAAAAACACATGGGTAGTGCAAAATCAGCCACGCTGATACTCTTAGTCGCAATGGTCATCACATCTTGTGCCACGGCCATGGACATGTCCGTTGTGTCCTCCAACAATAACCATCACTTGACCACCAGTCCTGGCCGTCTCCATAGCGGTTTCGATGCTGAGGCCTCGCTGATCTTCGATTCATGGATGGTCAAACATGGGAAAGTGTACGGGTCCGTTGCCGAGAAGGAACGGCGTTTGACGATTTTCGAGGACAACCTTCGTTTTATCAGTAACCGGAACGCTGAGAATCTCAGTTATCGGCTTGGTTTGACCCAGTTTGCGGATTTATCTCTTCATGAGTATGGAGAAGTTTGCCACGGGGCTGATCCAAGACCTCCTAGGAACCACGTCTTTATGACAAGCAGCGACCGATACAAGACTAGTGCTGGTGATGTACTTCCTAAGTCTGTTGATTGGAGAAACGAAGGTGCAGTGACTGAAGTCAAAGATCAAGGCCATTGCAGTAAGTGTACAGATTTTAAATCTGGTCTGTCTTGCCTAAACTATTTTTAATACAAAGCCGTTGAAAAAAAAAAGAAAAACTATTTTTCTTTAGCGTAAAATAGTAGAACTATTATTGGAAATCAGTTAATATGTAAAAAAACTAAAACATTATAGTAACTACAAACCTTACTTGAAGAAGAATAATAAGAAAATTATTTAAATTCGCTTCAATTAAAGAATCACTTTTAGAACTAGTAAGTATATTTTAAGACGTATAAGCTTCATCGTCGAGAGGGAAACAGTATGGATCACCAGCTAAGGCCCCTAAATGACCGCTCAGTGAAAAAGGAGGTAGGGGTGCAGAGACAGCCAAGAGGTTTGCCTATAAGCAGCCATCCTTGAAAGAGTGCGTAATAGCTCACTGATCGAGCGCTCTTGCGCCGAAGATGAACGGGGCTAAGCGATCTGCCGAAGCTATGGGATGTCAAAATGCATCGGTAGGAGAGTGTTCCGCCTTAGGGGGAAGCAACCGTGCGAGCGGCGGTAGACGAATCGGAAGCGAGAATGTCGGCTTGAGTAACGCAAACATTGGTGAGAATCCAATGCTCCGAAAACCCAAAGGTTCCTCCGCAAGGTTCGTCCACGGAAGGTGAGTCAGGGTCTAAGATCAGGCCGAAAGGCGTAGTCAATGGACAACAGGTGAATATTCCTGTACTACCCCTTGTTGGTCCCGAGAGACGAAGGAGGCTAGGTTAGCCGAAAGATGGTTATCGGTTCAAGGATGCAAGGTGTCAATTAGTTTCACTTTCTTAGTTTATACAAAACCGTTGATACAACCTAACACTAGCCAACGTTTTTTTTTTATGGATCATAGTATCTAAAAACGTTATTGTTGGATCAAAGTTACAACAAGAATAGACACTAACTAGTAACGTGTAACATTTTCTGATATTTTAATGGGAAAAATGACAAAAAAAAATATAACAAACTTTCAAATTTGGTATAAAAAAGCACCATTTTTTTTTTTTGAACGTTTTAATTAGACTTTTCAGTTTAATTACAAATTTTGTTGACTTTACATTTTAATCACATACTTTTGTTAACCGATCCAAATTAGGCCCGTCATAAAATGTACTATTACGATAAAAAAATTGATATTTTTTTCAACCAAATTTGAAAGTTAGTGATTTTTTTTTTGACATTTTTCCCATATTTTAATCCATAATCTACAAACTTTTCATGCATGTTTTGTTATTTTGTGAAGGGAGTTGTTGGGCTTTCTCGACTGTGGGAGCAGTGGAAGGCTTAAACAAGATCGTGACGGGAGAGTTAGTCACTTTGTCTGAGCAAGATTTGATTAATTGTAACAAAGAGAATAATGGTTGCGGAGGAGGCAAAGTCGAGACAGCCTATGAGTTCATCATGAAGAATGGTGGTCTTGGTACCGACAACGATTATCCTTACAAAGCTGTTAACGGAGTCTGTGATGGCCGCCTCAAGGTCAGTATAGTTACGATAATATATATAATGTCTATAACAATACTAAAAGGAAACCAAGTGTTCTTGGTCTAGTGGTTGCCACTTGTGAAGGAGTTGCCCAGTTGGTCTAGGCCAGGGATCGATTCCCCGCAAGCGCGCAATTGTTAGATCTCCACTTAGCCACATGGATATGGGCCCTTTCTTTAGGCCCATTTACATACCCGGAGAGAGAGTCTATCTGTGGGCTGCACCTCCCCCAGGGGATTAGTCTGAGCCCCTCCATAGGTCTAGGATAGAGTCTATCTGTGGGCTGCACTTCCCCCAGGGGATTAGTCTGAGCCCCTCCATAGGTCTAGGATTCCCCTGAGTTATCAAAAAAAACAATATTAAAAGAAATTAAGAATCAATTTTGAACTTAATTTTCAAAAATATTTGTGTAGGAAAACAACAAGAATGTTATGATTGATGGGTTTGAAAATTTGCCTGCAAACGACGAATTTGCTCTAATGAAAGCCGTTGCTCACCAGCCTGTGACTGCCGTTATCGATTCCAGCAGCCGAGAGTTTCAGCTCTATGAATCGGTAAAAGAAAACATATTTCTTTATATTTTCGTTTAGAAAATCTTCTTTAATTGGAAAAAGATTCCATTGATCTTTTTTTTTATGTCAAAGGGAGTGTTTGATGGCTCGTGCGGAACAAACCTAAACCACGGTGTTGTTGTGGTCGGGTATGGAACTGAGAACGGTCGTGACTACTGGCTCGTGAAAAACTCGAGGGGCAATACATGGGGAGAAGCTGGCTATATGAAGATGGCTCGCAATATTGCCAATCCAAGAGGTTTATGTGGCATTGCGATGCGAGCTTCATACCCTCTCAAGAACTCGTTTTCTACCGATAAAAGCTCCATCGCCTAATAAAAGGAACTAAATGTATGTTATGCAAGGGATCAAGTGAGCGAACAACCTATTCGATTGTGTGAAAAATAATGTAGTCGATGGGTTTTGTTTTGTAATATATTTTGTACTGTATGGGGTTGTCAAAGTTTGGAGTATGTATAATATTTATGGATATTTCGTTAGGTTCGAATGATGAATGCTTTACGTTTAGGAATATTCATGAAACACACTTAAACTTCATTTTTGCCAAAAAATTATACTTATGAGAGACATGCATTGATGAGTGATTCTAACTTGAGAGAATGAGATGAGACGAAAGTGATCAACCGTATTTATAACAATACAATTTTTAGAAATGGTGCACTGTTCTTTACAAGCGCGGTAGATTTTTATATCGAAATATAAAAAAAAAAACAATTTTTAGAAACAACAAATCTTTTTAGAATTTTCTTATTTAAAAATATTTGCTGAAAGATGTACTGGAACACTCTCACCCACAATTGCACCAGTAGGTTTGCCCAAATGTTCAATCCAAATCCTGCCCAAACATATGTGGTCTAGTGGCAGAGGAAGGTTTGGGAAAAGGTGAAACTCCCAAAGCTGAGTTCGATTCTCCCTGGAAATAAAAACACATTTGTTTGGGAAGTCTGATAGTTTAGCATTGGCCCAATTGGTTTACCTGGTAGCCAGAAATGCAGACGGTCTGACTATCTCTGCCATTAGTCGAAGGCACTCCAAACTCGGATCAGACAGTGTGGTGATCCAATTCTGGATCTCATGGATCTCATAAATCTCATGGCCCGTTCGACCCGAGTCCGCTCAGAGTTCATGGTGTCCGTTGAATCGTTGAACCGCGGGAGAAGTCCACTCTGTAGCACCTCGGTGCATTCCTACCGAGACTGACCGGATCAGCCGATAGGGTTTATCAAAAAAAAAAAAAATGTTCAATCCGATGGACATGTTATAATCTATATTTACATACATAATTTTGCCCCAATTTTTTTTTTCTAATAAACAATTGTTATATACGTGAGCTCTGAGTACTATAAATACTCTCATGTGTTAGCCAAAAGTACAGAGAGCAAAACCTCTTCTCCTCTTTAATAACTTGCAAAAACAAACACAAATAAAAGTTTAATTAGTTTTAAGCCCAACAAAAATGGGTAGTGCTAAATCAGCCATGCTGGTCCTCTTACTAGCAATGGTCATCTCATCTTGTGCCACGGCCATGGACATGTCTATTGTTTCCTCCAACGATAACCACCACGTGACCAATGGTCCTGGCCGCCGCCAGGGTGTTTTCGACGCTGAAGCCACCTTGATGTTCGAGTCATGGATGGTCAAACATGGGAAAGTGTACGAGTCCGTTGCCGAGAAGGAGCGGCGTTTAACTATTTTCGAGGACAACCTCCGTTTTATCACTAACCGGAACGCTGAGAATCTCAGTTATCGGCTTGGTTTGAACCGGTTTGCGGATCTATCTCTCCATGAGTACGCACAAATTTGCCATGGGGCTGATCCAAGACCTCCTAGGAACCACGTCTTCATGACTAGCAGCAACCGATACAAGACTAGTGATGGTGATGTTCTTCCTAAGTCCGTTGACTGGAGAAACGAAGGCGCAGTGACTGAAGTCAAAGATCAAGGCCAATGCAGTAAGTGATTTTAAATCCTATCCCTCTGGTATAACTATTTTTATATATTTTATTTAGTGAAATAAAAGAACTATTAAGATTTGGAAATCATTTAAAAGTAAAACTTAAAAACACCTTTGTTTAAACTCAACCAATATCATATCCTACTTTTTAATTAAAAATCTACAAGCTTTTCATGCATATTTCTTTTTTTTTGAAGGGAGTTGTTGGGCATTTTCGACTGTGGGGGCAGTGGAAGGCTTAAACAAAATCGTGACGGGAGAGTTAGTCACTTTATCTGAGCAAGATTTGATTAATTGCAACAAAGAAAACAATGGTTGCGGAGGAGGCAAAGTCGAGACGGCCTATGAGTTCATCATGAACAATGGTGGTCTTGGTACCGACAACGATTATCCTTACAAAGCTCTTAATGGAGTCTGCAATGACCGCCTCAAGGTATGAGCAGTTTGGATCATATTTATAAATGATGTCTATATCATGACTATAACAACAATAAAAAGAGATAATTACAACAATAACAAAAAAAGGGAGGATAAGTGTTGAACTTAAATTTTTTTTTTGCTAAGAAAAAAAACAAGAATGTTTTGACTTAAATATTTGTGTAGGAAAACAACAAGAATGTTATGATTGATGGGTATGAGAACTTGCCTGCAAACGACGAATCTGCTCTCATGAAAGCGGTTGCTCACCAGCCTGTAACTGCCGTTGTTGATTCTAGCAGCCGAGAGTTTCAGCTTTATGCATCGGTAAAAAAAAAAAAAATTCTTTATATTTTCGTTTAGTAAACGGTCTTTAGTTGAAAATATATTTTCTTTGATTGTTTTTTTTTTTTGTTTTTTTTGTTTATCTCAAAGGGAGTATTTGATGGAACTTGCGGAACAAACTTAAACCATGGTGTTGTTGTGGTCGGGTATGGAACCGAGAACGGTCGTGACTACTGGATCGTGAGAAACTCGAGGGGCAACACATGGGGGGAAGCTGGCTACATGAAGATGGCTCGCAACATTGCCAATCCAAGAGGCTTATGTGGCATCGCAATGCGAGCTTCATACCCTCTCAAGAACTCGTTTTCTACTGATAAAATTTCGGTCGCCTAATAATATGAACTAAATGTATGTCATGCAATGCATCGATTGAGCCAGCAACGTAATTCGACTTTGAAGGAAAATAAAAAATTAATGTAGTCGATTGGTTTGGTTTTGTTATATATTTTGCATTTGTATGTGGTCAATGTTTGGAGTTTGTATAATATTTCTTTGGGTCTAGAGATGAATTTATATTGTCCCTTTTGCCAAAAAAATACTTGTGTGAGACGAGATTGATGAGCGATTCTGAGTTTGGAGAATGGGAGAATGATAGTGATTAAAGCGTATTAGAGCAACCCCAATGATGGTTTTTTTAACTAAGTACTTCTTAACATTAAGACAACAAAAGTATAATTATTTAATGTGTGGGTTTCTTGAATAGTGAAGAAACTCTCTCCAAAATTTCTTATATAAGATAATTAGACATACTTTGGAGAGGGTTTCTTCACTATTCAAGAAACCCACACATTTTTTATTAATACATTTTCTCTCTCTAAAATAAGAGACTTATGTTTAGAAACCATCAATGGGGTTGCTCTTACAGATTGAAAATTAAAGATACAATTAGAAAATTTTAGATTTAAACGGAAGAAGACTTATGCTATACTAACGATGTTTATATCATAATTATTTGGTATTCAATTATGGAAAAAAGATGGCTGGCTACACGAAGTATCCGCGAAGACATGGCCACACATGCAAAATTTAATAATGGATCCTAAACTACATGAACTATATGTATCGCATGCCCACATATACGAACTATATGTAGTCATGTTGCCAACATCACCAACATTTTTTTTCGGTACACTTTTCGCCGGAATCCGACATTGACCAGTTTGCCCGGCGTTGACCAACATAAATATTAAAAAAAACAAAATTTAGTTTTTTAATATTTAGAAAATTATGTTATTGAATCATTTATAATATTGTATAATTAAAAAATATATACAATATTCAATATAAAAATATTTTGTATATATATTCAATGCATTGATTTTTATAATTAGTTAGTTTCAATAATTTCAAAACTAAACTAAAAATAAAACAAAAACCAATTAGGTAAAATAATTATAAATAGAAAATTTTAAATACGCTCTAGTCTAAAGTTATATATAATATGT